AGCTGAATACAAACCAGAAGAAAAAAAAAATCACATGTACAGGTTTCCTTGTGCTACCATAGCCATTTTCTATCTTTTTCTTTATTGCCCAAGCTGAGAAGTTATAGGTAGGTATTCACAAGTGGCACATCCTTTTTGAATAAGGTGTGACTCCCCTTTGGGGCCACCAAAAGATAGCTGCCTCCAGATTGTGTGGATTTCTAGCTAACAGAAGTAGCATGAACTCACTGACTATGGGGTCAGATCTCTGAGCTCGCTGCAGGACTTTGATACAATACTGCTAACAAGAAATTGAAAATCAGACCAGGCACTGAAAAAATAAAATTAAATTAAACAAGTCATCCAATTATTTTTACCCTGGCTTAAAAATAACAAGAGGGGCACAATGCAGTTAATTTAAATATCACAGCTGATAGACAGATGTTCAGACAGATTCCTGTAACAAGTGCCATAAAGCAGGAATAAACAAAGGTGGCTTTGTGAAAAATGCCAAAACCAGAATGATAAGGGACAAAAAATAATCAGTGTTTGTGGAAAAAAAAAAAATCTAACTGGACTTCAGAACGGCTCAAAGTTCACTCATATCATTGTAGTGCCAACACTGCAATTTCATGATCTTCCTAGGATCTTATAATATGCCATGGACATGAGAAGTCAGACAATCTATCTCAGCTCCACCCATAAGACATGAAAAATACAGCGTTTAATGAGGTGGCTGCTAAGGGATAGTTAGTTTCATTAAACAACAAGAAAAACAACCTCTTGTTTCAATGTAGTCTTGGGGAGAAAGAAGAAAAAATAGATATGAATTGGTTGGCAAACCCCAAATATATGAATATCTGGACAATGAATTTGTTACCTGCAGGCTGGTCAGAGGGATGAACTGCTCGTTCTAGCTAGGAAAGCCTGGTATCTAACGAGACTCTCATATTCCAGCATCGTGAAAAAAAAAACCATCCCCAAAACAGAGGAGACATTGCATACAACCACTAGCAAATTTAAGTAGGAACCAGA